CCCTGTGCTATCCCCAAGTCCCTCAGACACTGTTTCGTACCTCACCCCGGCCCCAAAATCAGTCCTTACCAAAACTGTTCTTTTAAAATAAAGCCAAGCCCTCTCAAATCTGTTGTTTCATTTAGGGGAAAAACTCAACATGGTCTTTTAGTCACCAGAATGTCTCTCAAAAGTCTGTTGGTTTGTTGGGTTTGGGTTTTTTAGTTGGTTGGCTTTTAAAAATAAATGTGTTCAAGAGGCGCCAGGGTGATGTGGTGGTTTAGGGGTTATGCTGGGATAATCTTGAAGGTCTCTTCTAGCCTTGATGCTCCTATGAATAGCTTCAGGACAAGAATGGATTTATCAGGGAGGAGGTGTGAAATTTTGACCCCCCTTCATTTGATCCATGTCTAGGTAGTGACAGCACACCCTAATTATTTTTTGAGTTTTTAGAACAAAAGTACTAAACAGATCACAGTTGCCCTAATAAGTACCTTAAATTTATAATCCTAGTTTTCAATTATGATGGTGTTAGTGATATCTAAAAGAAAGCCTTAAATTACCTCTCAGTGCCCACACAAGGGTTTTGTTGGTTTAACTAAATAATTGCTATCTGGCTTTCCAACAGATCTCCAGTGGATGTTAATAGTTAGAAAGCTGAATCTTAGGGCAAATACAGAAAGGCATGGCAAGAACCCCAAAAAAGAATTTTAGTGAGACATAGAAACTGCCGTAAGTAACAGAACAATGAATTCCTTGGGGTTTCACACAGCTTTGCTGACACCTAGTTCTAAGCAAATCATTTGGGGCTGAGATGAGGCAGCAATTTGGGTAATATTCAAGCTAAGCTTGAATAGTCACAAATATTTGGGTATAGAGTTAGGTGCTCTCTTGAGATCTAGCAGTACTTTTTTATGACTTTGGTATATTTTTGCTATGTTTTATATATTAGAAAATGAAGTACTGAAGTCAACTGGACGCATGGAGTAGAAACATCACAAAAGACCAAAAGCAGCAAAGTGGTTTTTGTTTGGATTTTTTTACAGTCTGTTATTTACAGTAGCCTTTGTCAGTACTGGAAAAGAGATTAGGAAGAGAATCTTTTCATATAGAAATATGACACTGAGATTCCCTTTAGAATCAAGACTATAAGTCAGGATATCTTTTCACCTAACTTTTTGAACAATGTTGAAGAATTGGTGGGATTGTGGTCTGAAAATAATTAAAAGCCTATGGAGAAATTATTTTATCCTTGCTTCAGGAGATCCCCAGGGTTCTAAAGCATGGGAATGTAAAGCTTTAATATGTGGGAGTAATAGCATGTAGGTTGTGCCGTTTGCTGTTTCTCCATCTGGCCATTAAAGAAAACCATTATAAAGTCCATATATATAGCTTAAGTCATGCTCAGTGATGACAGAGAGACTGTGAAGTGCTATCATTCAGGAAAGCTTCAGTAAGGCTGCTTCTGCTGACTTGTGTGGCTTAGGATGAAATATGTGCAGTTAATGAAGGGGAATAATTCATGAGAGGAGATATTTGAGTTACAGGTTGTGACATCAATTTGTATTACATAAATATAGGAAGAGCAGTGAAGTGTATTCACTTTTTCAGTGTTAGTGTCAATATGTGAGGCTGACTGTATAGGGCTGGTTTCAGATTTTCTGGGAATTAACTTGTAACAAATCTGCCAGCCATGGATTTGGACTGGTTTTGGTTGATCACATTAGCTTTCCTCTGTGTAAACGGAATGGTGCCTTAATGAGGGAGAGCTTTGGGATTTAGAATAAAAGATTCTAGATATGAAGAATGAAGGGTAACAGGAATAGAAGCCAGATAGGTGTGGTAGAAATATCCTCATGTGTTCTGGAATTTAAATTTGTTTCTCTGCCAATGCAGGTTGACTCCATATACCATTTTCACTCATAAGGGCATCTGAAAGCTGTCAAAGCTCATGCTGCAAAGGAATATGTATGTCAATGTAATTTTTAATGGATTTTGTGTTGAACAGTGGCAGAAGTTCTACTCTCTCCAGTTTGTGTCTGCTCACTAAGAGTCAGTAATTCATGTGTCTCTCTCACGTGTAAAAACTGAATAAAGCAGTATTGACATATATCATCACTTTAAAATTGCTGTGTTTTTCCATTGCCCTGATTTCCAGAGCTTAAAGCAGTGACAGATTTGTTACTGACCTGCAAAAAACATTGTGATAGAAGAAAAGTATTTGTAACTGTATTCAATATAGTGTAAATTCCAGGTAGCTCACCTCAAATTTCAAAGGCAATCAAGTAAATATTTTTCATAACTTTGCCTATCATTTGAACAGCATTATTCATCATTGTTTTAAGATCTTACACCTTATCCAAAAAGCCTCCCAGAGATTACAGTCACCTACATAATATCCAGTTAGTCTGGTCTAGAAATCAGCTAAATAATGATAAGTGCCAGGGATTTGATTTCTTCTTCAGTCTAAGCAAGTTCAAGGATGCTGTTTAATTTTTTTTTATTAAAATGAAGCATAAGATATTCTACTAGTACAGAATCACTATCTCATGAAGAGGATGTTTTTTAACTTTATTGTCAAATAGAAATAAAATGTCCGTATTATTATATTTAGCATATTTGATTAAAAAAAGAATCTAATTTGGCATATTTGATAAAGAAAACTAATTGTGGTTAGATATTTTTGCTACCATCAAGGATCCTATTAGTTTCCTCCAAGGCAAACGTCTCTCTGTCTAGCTCCTACAAAATGTACTAGAACACAAAGTAAGCTTAGATGTCTGCTTTGAGTTTCTCGTAGATTTTCTTATAAAATATTGTCATCTACTCTTTCAAAATCATGAAGTCAGAGATATAGAGAGGAATTGTTGCAGGGAAAAAGGCAGAAAAAAGCTGATAGTTTTGGTAGGGAGCATTTAGACATAAATGGAAAAAGGAAAATAGGTAGCCTACATGAGCTTTTCCTTGTAGAAAATGTGATGCCAAGTGCTGCATTTTGTCTAAAAGTCATGAATGTCTTCATTCAAACAGAACTGTTTATTTCACACCAGATCTTTAAGTCATTGAAAGTCTGGGTAACATCATAAAACTAATTTTAAAAAATCCTTAAAATTACCTTGACGTATTTTGTAGCATGCTATAAGTTTTATTTTGTTAGATATGGATATACTAGCATGCATGTACTGGCTTAAATTGCTCTCTGGCCAGGTTGTTCTGTTTTAAATTTTAATTTGGCAATGTTGTAAAGACTTCTGATTATTTTAAAAATTCACATTTAAATTTTGGCACCCAACTGTTGAATATTTGGATTCATATCATGCTTCAGTTTTTGAGATATCTGGAAAAAACAGAAATTCTGCCAGGCTGAAAAAAAGTCCCCCTCAACATTTGGATTGTTGCTGTGTCACGAAGAGAATCCTCTACTTTACTGGCATCTAAACTTGGGATGCCTCTTTGGGAATCTCCTGCCCTTTCCAGGCTGATTTCGTGACAGTCCTTACAAATTTATTGCCCTGAACTTTCTGTCTCTGCTCAGTGAGATCTTTGTGTTGAGGAGGATTTTGGCTGCTGCTTCCAGTCTGCTCCTCTTGTCTGAGCAACTTCACAGATGATGTAGCATCACTCTGTTGCTATTCTGTGTTCTTTGCTTTGGGGTTGAAGAGAATTTCCTCAGAAACCTGGATGTCAGCTGTCCTTTGGAGTTGGTGCAGCAACTCTCTGCCAGTTTGGATCTCATTTGGGACACAAACCCAATGTTTGGGAGTTTCCTTTACCCGTCTCTAAAGATACTGAATTTATTTCTGATTCAAAAAGCAGGGACATTAGTAAAAACAATCTCATTCAGTCTCTTTCTAGTCACTTCCAGAGCAGCTAATCCTTGCACAGACCTAAGACAGTCAATGCTTACTCACTGGTAACAGGTTAGGGTGTTCACGGAATTTAGGATTTGTCCTTTCCTAAGAAAAACATCCTCTCCATACTTGGCTTGATGGAAAACAGAAGTTGTTAATCTGACAGTTGGTGACGAATCAGATTTGGAAAACTGCTTTTTTTGAATTGGTGCATGCTGAATCATTT